CAGACTTATCTCTCTCTCACTGAATGCAACTAAAAATCCGGGATGGAATACACAGAAAAGTTATCTGAGGACTCAAAAGAACAAGCTAACAGTCCAACCAGGGAACTCTGAGTACCACCAAACTGGCAGCGAATTTCCTGTTTTTTATTTTCTCTGGTATCTCCTGGCCTAGGATCAGGGACAACCTGAAACCTGAAACTTGAGTCTGTATACTAGGTGCAAAAATGGGCAGCTTCTGAAGAAGCCCCCTCTCTCTGGCCTGAGGAATAGGAGCCAGGGGCCTCTATAGGACAGAGGGGGAGTAATTACCCTGGTTTGTTTGGGGGTGGGTGGTGGGTGGGTTCTTTCGACTTGAATAAGAAAGAAAAAAAAAAACCAAACTGAGAAAGAGAGAGAGCAAGAAAGAGAAAACAGAGCCTCAGGGGTCAGTGGGACCATAAGAAAAGGCCCACTTCTGTCACTGAGTCCCAGAAGGAAAGGACAAAGAATGCACTGCAGAAAAACTACATGAAGGAAAAAAAATGACTGTAAATTTCCCACAGTGGAGGAAAGATATAAATCTATAGATTCAATAAGTTCAGCAGGGGAGGGTATGTAGCTCAACTGGCAGAGTGTGTGCTTAGCATACACAAGGTCCTGGGTTCAATCCCCAGTACCTCCATTAATAAACAAACAAACAAACCTAATTACCAACCCCCCCCCCAAAAGATGTTCTGCAAATCTCAAACAGGATGAACACAAAGAAATTCATGCATAGCCACACCATAATAAAACTGAAAACTGAAAACCAAAGGCAAAGAAAAAGTCTTGAAAGCAGCCAGATTACATACTAGGGAACAAACACTGAAACGACTATAGGTTTCTCATCAAATGATGATAGTCTAAAGACAGTGGAAGTACTAAAAGAAAAGAGCTGTTGACCCAGAACTTGACATCCAGCAAAAATTATCCCTCAGGAATAAAGACAGTCTCCACTGAAGGATGATTAAGAGAATTTGTTGCCAACAAACATACTATAAAAGAAATGCTCAAGGACATCTATATGCAAAAAAAACTTAATTTAAAAAGAACCTCAACTTAAATCTCACATTTTATACAAAGATGGGTTATATAGCTAAATGTGTAACTAATACATAAACTACAACACTTGTAGAAGAAAATATGGGAGAAAAATCTTTATGTTTAATTTGGCAAATAGTTCTTAGATAGAGAACTCAAAATACAATCCATAAAACAACTGATAAATTAGACTTTACCAATTTAAAAACAGTTAAGGCATGAAAAGATATGATATGAAAAGATAAGGCACAGTCAAGGGAAAAATATTTGCAAATCATATATTCCAAGATGGACCTGTGTTCAGAATTTAAAAAGAACTCTTAAAACTTATCAGTAAGAAAACCCAATAAAAAACACACGAAAGATTTGGATACTTCACCAAAAAAGATACACAGATGAAAAGTGAGCACATGGAAAGTAGTTTGACATTATTAGCTATCAGGAACATGCAAATCAAAAACAAAATGAAACAACATTACACACCAATTAGAGTGACTTAAAGAAAAGGAAGAAGAAAAAAGACAATACCAACCACTGGAGCAAGATGAACATGCACATTATTGCTAAGAATATAAAATGGTATAGCCAGTCTGGAAAACAGTTTGGCAGGTTTGGGTTTTTTTTTAATAAAAAATAAACATAGTTATTTATGTATGTGTTTATATGACATGTATGAAATTGTGTCTATATAAGCCAGCAATCCCACTCTTAGGTATCTACCCTAGAAAGATGAAATCTTACATTCACAGAAAAACCTCTATATGAATGTTCATAGGAGCTTTATTCACATGTCTTTCAGTGGGAGGATGGATGAACAAATTGTGATATATCCACATAACAGAAAATTGCTTAGCAATAAAATGAAATGAACTATTGATAAATATAAAAACATGAATCTCAAAGGTAAAATGCTAGGTAAAAGAAACCATCTCAACTGGTTATATGATTCCATTTATATGATACTGTGGAAAAGGTGAAAGTATAGGGATGGAGAACAGACTGGATCTGCTGCCAGAGATCAGAACAGGGCAGGGATTTACCAAGGAATGACACAAGGTAATTTGGAGGGATGATCAAAGTGTTTAGTACATCAATTACAGTCCTGATCGTGGTGATGGTTATTCAGTCTATACAGGTCTTAAAACTAGTAGAACTATACATCAAAAACCCAACCC